TATGGAGGTTGGGGCCTAGCGAGCCAACTCGTGTTCTGTTACCAGAGGCCGGTAACCTCTCTGGGCCTCTCTGGGCCTCAGTGTCTGACGTTCATAAAGCAAAGGACGTAGAACATGCTAGTGATTTGCCAGCTTGTGATCTGGAGCTGGGTGAAGGTGACCTGATGGCATTTTCACGGATTTTAGGAGGCCACGACAAGGCAGCTCAAACCATTAGCTACGACGGCAGTGAGCTTTGTAGACCAAAGTGGAGGAACCCCACACAAGTCTGGGAGGGGGGAAGGCGGGACCCCTGGCCCCTCGCCGGGGACTTCCGCTCACCATCCCTGGCTCGGCCCTATTGACGGGGTCCTGTGTGTTGAGGGTAGTTTGGAGGGGCTGGTGCTGGCAGAGGGGGACTCCGTTGGGACCCCGGACAGAGACCCTTCTGGATGGACCTGATCTGCTCTGATTTCAGGAGCGAGTTAGTTTATTTGTGCCAGAGAACTTACCAGTACTGGGTGGGCTCCAGGCAGCGTGGAGATACAGAAGGAGGAGACCCAGGTCTCAAGGGGCTCAGAGTCCGGTTCACTGGAAGTATGTCCAGAAGCTTCCAGAAGCCCAGTGGCAAAGCCAACAGCAGTGTGGAGCTGGTCAGAGGCGTCTGTGCGGGGCCCCCAGAGGCCACCTGCAGGGAAAGGGAGCCTCTCTGACTCCAGACAGCCACCCCGCGTCCCTGTGTCTCCAGGTGTGAAGGAATCCATAAAACACTCAGGCTGCTGTGTCTACAAGCACCTGCGGGCCCTAGTGGAGGGTAACAAATTGGTTAAATCAGGAGAGGCCTTGTCTTAATTTAGGCTCCTGGTGGCACACACCGTCAGGCGTGTGGATCTCAGGACAAGAACGGAGCACCGCGGTCTGGTTTGGTCGGTTCGGCGGTTCGAGGAAATCGTCATCGATAATTGTCTCGTTCTTTGTTTTCCCCTATGGCGCTCCCACCTGCACGGAGCCAAGTGCACAGAGGCGAGGCGGGAGAGAGAAGAGAATGGATCTGTGTCATTTTTTGAGGTCAGTGGAAATCATTCTTCGAAGCGCCCCCCCCCCCAGGCAGATTTGCTCCCGAATCCTGAATCGGTGGGCACCATGTCTCTTCCCTGGACGACAAGCATGGGGTCGTCACGGCCAGTGGAGACCAGTAGGGTCTTGTTCCGTTGATCAAGTATTTTGGATCAATAAGTGATGTTGTACTTTTGCCTGGTTGGTCTAGACCTAAATCACCCGGAGGTGATTTTATTCTCCAAGGTCACCCCAACCTACACTGTTGGCCAACAATTGGTTTGACGTTTAGTTTATTCTTTTTATCTTGTTAGCTATCAGTGGTTATCCGCTCTGATCGAAGCCTACGCAAGGAGAAATATTTCTTGCTACTCATATTAGCATTATTGCTTGTATTGTTAAATAGATTAACCCGGTATTAAGTTAGCAGTTGGTTGCATATTTTTGACATTAAGATGTTTTCGTTGTTGAGCTTGAACGCTTTCTTAATTGATGGCTGCTGTTAAGCCGACTGTGGTTAACGTTTATGCTTACTCTCTAAAAACGGTTGGATCCTGGTTCTAGAATGCTGTACCTTTTCAGGTTATATTTTACACTTACATTTGAATTTGGGGGTTTTTAGGTAAGTTTACAGTTGAGCTAAAATTCTGTTCTGGGTAACCAGCTGTCACCAGGCTCGTGAGGCTTTTCACCTCCACCTCCAAATCTTCTCACTAGTTTGCAACATAGATGAGTTCATCCTGTAAAGAGTGTTCAGAGGCGCTCGTCTGGTTTCGGGGGGCCTGGCTTAAGTTCTCTTTGTTAGGTTATTCTAGCGAATTCATCACGCCACAGCTACCAGGGGTAATCTTTGCTGTATAGCGCTTTTAATCTTTCTTCTGTCTTTCCCTTACGGCACTCTCTCTGTGGTGCCAAGTTAAGTTTCTGTCTCCTATACTTTCAAGAATTAACCAAGTGGTTTGGTTTATTGTTTTACGTTAGTTGAATGTGTGGTTGTTTGGGCCAGTTTTGGCTCACGATGGTCACTTTGATATGCAGTCTTCTGGGTGTAAGCCAGATGCTTTGTTTAAGCTACGTCTCGTTTTATCCAAGCCCACTTTCCAGTATGCTTGCCTTGTTACGACTTGCCTCTTGTGTTTTTTACGGTTCCAATAGATCGTCTTTGGGTTTTGTCACTCGAGGAGGGTGACAGGTGGTGTGTGCATGCTTCATGGCCTGATTCAATTGAGCTCTCTAGTCTCAATTTATTACTAAATCCTCCTTTGGTTCTTAATTTCATAAGGACTTCATGGAAAGTGTTCTGGCACGGAAAATGTACCCCATTACTTCCCACCTCACAGGTCATGCCTTGACCTAACTTTAAAAAAAATTTTTTTTAAAAAAAAATTTTTTTTTTTTTTAACATTTATTTATTTTTGGGACAGAGAGAGACAGAGCATGAACGGGGGAGGGGCAGAGAGAGAGGGAGACACAGAATGGGAAACAGGCTCCAGGCTCTGAGCCATCAGCCCAGAGCCCGACGCGGGGCTCGATCTCAGGGACCGCGAGATCGTGACCTGGCTGAAGTCGGACGCTTAACCGACTGCGCCACCCAGGCGCCCCTAAAAAAATTTTTTTAATGTTTATTTTTGACAGAGAGAAAGAGAGACAGAGCATGAGTGGGGGAGGGTCAGAGAGAGAGGGAGACACAGAGTCCGAAGCAGGCTCCAGGCTCCGAGCTGTCAGCACAGAGCCCGACGTGGGGCTCGAACTCGCGGACCTCGAGCCGAAGTCGGACGCTCAACCGACTGAGCCACCCAGGCGCCCCTTGACCTGATTTTTTAATGTTAAGATACCTGTGCCCATTTTTCTTCCTTTTTAGGGTTTGCTGAAGGTGGCGGTGTATAGACTGGATTTGCAAGGGGTGGCAAGGTATATCGGGGCTTGTCGATTACAGAACGGGCTCCTCTAGGCATATAAAGCACTGCCAAGTCCTTTGAGTTTTAACCTGTTGCTATAGTTCTCTGGCAGATAGATTTGTTTAATTAGCTAAGTTTAGGGCTGAGGATAGCGGGGTATCCAATCCCAGCTTGGGTTTTAGCTATCCTGCGGTCGGAGGTGTTAAAGTTACTTTCGTGCTATAGTTGTATGTTACTTGTAGCTTTTGCCAGCCTAGTAAAAGTTTAACAGTAGCGTGGGGTTCCTCTATGACACGCTTTACGCCGTGGGTCTATTAGTTCGGGTGAATCGTGTGACCACGCGGGTGGCTGGCATGAAATTTACCAACCCTAATTCAATATGGCTTAGTCGAATTTTCATTCACGGCTTAATTTTTATCCCCGCTGTATCCCGTGGGCGTGTGGCTAAGCAAGGTGTCACGAGCTACATTGTTATTGTTTGTGCTTCACACCCGCTCCTTTAGATTATGATGATTGAGAGGCGTTTTTCACCCTTCCGGAGGCTTCCACGTGTAATCCTCTTTAACTAATGGAAAGGCTAGGGCCAAACCTTGGTGTTTATGGAGTCTGATGATTCATCTAGGCATTTCCGGTGCCTTGCTCTGTGTACTGAAGCTACCTTAACGGGGAACACGTTGGATGGGTTGGTGAATTTATGGGATTAGTTGTGAGAGAATATTGCCCAGTCGGTACGGATTAGCGCTCGAGGTGAATCGAGGTGTCACATGGGTATTTGCGACTGATGTTTCATTGGGATTTTGGGTGTATTTATAAAGATTTGTACTTAGGCCTTCTGTTTGGACGTGAATTTAGTCTTGTTTTGGGGGGTTGGACAATGATAAATTGGACAATGATAAATACGTATTCTTATCATAGTGTTACAGGGAGTTGGGGGGTTTTGGTTAAGCCAGTTATCGGTTGGATAAAGATGTGTGCGTGTGTGTACATGTACGTGTGTGTGTACGTGTATGTGTGTCCGGTTGAAGCATTAGAGTTAAGGTACATGTCCTGTAACCATTGACTGAAATACACCTTGTTTGTGTGAATGCGGAGACATAGCACAGTGAATTAGCCCAGCGACGAGTTATTTGACTGCGTCGAGACCTTTACGGTCATAGCTGAATCAGAGCAAGTTCCCCCCCACCCCCCCCAAATTTAAAAAATACCAAATGCATGATACCGCAGTTATGTGTGATCATGGGCTGATTGGTCATGAGTCCATCGAGATGTTCTATTTGAGATAACTGTAGGATTCACTGACTGTAGGGCCCTGAAGTAAGAACCAGATGCCAGGTTCGGTTCCAGTATAGAAACCCTGAGTCTCATGGGGGCGGGTGATCTCACGGTTTGTGGGTTCGAGCCCCGCGTCAGGCTCCGTGCTGATGGCTCGGCGCCTGGAGCCTGCTTCGGATTCTGTGTCTCCCTCTCTCTCTGCCCCTCCCCTGCTCACACTGTCTCTTCCTCAAAAATAAATAAACAT